GAAAATACAGAATGAGAAAAGGAGATGGCTCTAGGACCAAGGGTTCCCGTTTAATTGCTGGGTAGAAGATGCTCAGAGAAAGTGGCATTTCAAGAAATGTTTCAAGAAAGATGGAGTAGTCAACAGTGTCATATGCCATTTCATAAGTCCAGTGGGACAGAGCCTGAAAGATGTACATTAGATTTGGCAGCAGAGAAGTCTTGGGATGTCTTAAAATTATTTTGGTGTTGTGGTGGGGTGAAGCCAGGTTGGCAGTCACTGAGGAATGTGCTATAGTTCAGCAAATTTGGGCATTTTTTGATGGTGGTGGTTGTGTGTGGGGGAGTCATTGTGCAGTAAAAAGCTAACCTTGGTTAGAGGAGCAAGATGGCAGAGGAGTAGGAGACCTAAATTTGGTCTGGTCCCAGAATTCAGCTAGATCGTTATCAAACCATTCTGAACACCTACAATCTCAACAGGAGATCGGAGAAGAGAATAGCAGCAATTCTATGAACAGAAAAGCGATCACTTTCTGGAAGATAATACATTCTGTGTTGCAGTAAGAAGTTAACCGTGGTTAAAGGAGAAAGAATGATGGAGTTGAGGTGGAAATTTGAATACACAGGGGAAAGAAGAGCTTACCCATAGTTCAAAAACTTTTTTTCTCTACTCCCTGCAAAGAAATAATGGCTGTGGAGACCAGAGTTCCTTTTTATTCTTGTATTTTCTTTCCTTTATTTTTTTAGATTTTTTTTTTCTTTTTATCAAGACACAGAGAGAGAGGAGAGTGAGTGAGCGCGGGAGAGAGCATGAGGGGGAAGGGGCAGATGCAGGGCTCCCCACTGAGCAGGGAGCCAGATGCAGGACCCTGGAATCATGACCTGACCCGAAGTAGACCCACTAAGCCACCCAGGTGCCTCCTCATTCTTGTATTTTGTATATCCTCAGAAAAATGTTCAACTCCTCACGCTTTCTCTAAGTTTCTCTTTTCATTGTGTTTCCATAGCTTCACCCACTTGGCTCTTTATCCCTGGCCCCTCTCCTAAGTTCCAGTCATCAGTTTTTTAACAGCCTGATAGAACTCTTTAATTGTCTCATGACTCCTCAAATTCACCATGTCTGACTGAATTAATCCTTTCCTTTTCAGCCTGCCATAATTTACTAGTATCTCCCTTTCTTTCACTTAGAAGTGCCTCCAGTTACTGAGGGCCTAACTCTGGATCTTCCATTGTTTCTTCTGTCTCTTCCTCACTTCCCCATTCTGATCCTACCCCCATCCTCAGTCCCTGCTTGGTAGACTCAGATCACTGTGCTGCTTTTGGAACAACTTTCCCCCCAAATAAGTCCGAATTAATTTGGCTCATTTGGTCTACCTCATTTAATATGGTATTACCCATAAAATTCGTTCACGTTGTTATTTTTGACCTTTTATCCGTATGTGAAAAACAGGAGAAAACACAAACTGATCATTTCTTTGAAACTGTTAGGTAGGTTGAAGATATTATTTATGCCTCTTTGTATCAGCATAATTTTAGTTCATAATTGTAAATGTGAAATTTTCTGATTATAAGGTTTTTAAACAATTTTTTGTATGTAGACAGAATACCACAGTTTCCTTATTTATCCTGAATTAATATATTTAAAGGAACACAGTATATGTATTCTACTTTGTTTTCCTGTTCCTGCAGGAAATTAATACAATTTAACCCAATTTTGTTATATTTAAATCTATTGGTTGAACTGTAAGTTATAAATACTTGATTATAATTTTTGAATTGTACTTTAGAGGTTAATAACATAGTTTTTTAAATAGAGCTATTGAAACGGAGAGGAAGGTAAACTTTCATTTTATGTGGACTCATGTCTGTTTTGAAATACTGCTTTCATACATGCTGGAAAATCTTCATCTGCATTTTTTGAATACAGTTGTTTGTAGTATAGTGGAAACTTACATAATTATCTCTAGATCTTCAGCTTTGTGGTGGAATTCTGATAAGCACCCACAGTAAAAATTTTAAGATGCCTGCATGCTTTTGCAGCATTAAAAAAGACACCCACATTGATACTTAACCTTAGAAAAGATAGCCTATGACGTATATGCATCTTTCATAGAAATGGGAAGGAAGAGGTCTTTTTGTGCATATTATAGACATTATATTTTCTTGTAATATTTAGAAGATTATATAATATTTTAAGCTTTTTTTTAAGATTTTATTTATTTGAGAGAGAGCAAGCATGAGTAGGAGAGGGGCAGAAGGAGAGAGAGAAGCAAACTCCCCACTGAGCAGGGAACCCAATGCAGGGCTCCATCCCAGGACCCTGGAATCATGACCTGAGACCAAGGCAGACGCTTAATCGACTGAGCCACCTAGGCGCCCCAAGATTATATAATATTTTAAAGTCTCCATTTACAAATTAAATGCAGAACACTACATATCCTAGAGTGAAAATTAAGGAACTTCTCTTTACCTTAAAGTTAATTGAATTAACAGACAAAAATTTTTATTCTGGCTTTATTTTAATAATTGAACTGGAGTAATCATGCCTACGAAGAATCTTTTTTTTCACTTGGGATCATCATTGATGTTCTACCATTTAGAGCATCTCCAACAGTGGAAGGAAAGCCAAAGTGGAATGCTCTGTGATTGAACCACACAGGCCCCTGGTCACATTATTTTCCCCTACGTATACGTATTTCTAACAATATGGTTACTGATTTCCGTGTTTATACCAGGTGCTAAATGAGGAAGAGGGATAACAATAGACAGATAAATTGACTGAAATGAGTCACACTCAGCAGTCTTATACAAAAGAAGAAGAAAAAATCACCAGACGTAGTCATTTCAAAAATGAGACCCAGCAATTCCACTCCTAGGGGTATTTCCATGATAAATGAAAACTTAGGTCCACACAAAAACTTGTGCACCAGTGTTCATAGGAGCATATTTCATTGTAGCCAGAATGTGGAATAGGTTCACATGTTTATCAGTTGATGCCTAAACAGATGTGGTATATCTATACAATGTATTATTTGGCAATAAAAAAGAGTGAAGTACTGAAACACTTTGTAACGTGGATGAATCTTGAAAATGTTGGGCTAGGTGAAAGAGGCCACATACAAAGTCCACATATTATATGAGTCCATTCCATGTCTATGACATGTCAGAATAGCAAATCCATGGAGACAGAAAGTTGATAAGTGATCCCCAGGAGCTGGGGAAATGGGAGTGACTGCTGATGGACTTGGAGTTTCTTTGTGAGATGATGAAAATGTTCTAAGATTGGTTGTGATAATTGTACAGCTTGATGAATATACTAAAAATCATTGACTTGTGTACCTTAATTGGGTGAGTTGTGTGATTATATGAATTATATCTCAATAAATTTGTTAAAGTATAGCAGGTTGGGATCATTGGGATAAAGTATAGCAGATAATTTTTGTTAATGGGAGTGGTTAGTTCTCTATACTATAAGCTTGGGGTATTCCTCTTATAGTACAGAAATCATTGATACAGTAGAAAGTAATTGGGAAACTATGTGTTATAAAGGAAATTATAATAATTTGTGTCCCTTATGATCTGTTTTTAAAAATCCAACTAATCAGGAATGGTTAACATTAATATTCATCTTTAAGCTCTTAGTGATTTTAGAATGACTTGTTTTCCAAGTGTTTCATACAGTTGAAGTTATTGCCATGGCTTTTGATGCAAACATGAGCATTAGTTGAAAATTTGATTGTTGTTTTCTTGGCATTAAAAAGCCTAGGTAAAATAATTTTCAAAAGATATACTAAAAGAAATTATCGCATCTAACTTACAGTGTTTCTTCTATGGCTTAAAAATCTAAGATTTAGCAGTCGTTTAGCTGTATGAATGTGAAATCTAAGAGCTGATACAGGTTGATACATATAGCATTAATACATAAATAGAATTAAATACATTTACTTGGCTAACAGATACTGGTCAAGGGAAAAAGGGAAGTTTGGATTATGATACAGATTTTTTTCTCCAGTAACAAAGAATTTGATATAGCTCATTTCTAATAAAAAAAATTTACATTGGGAATTCACTGGAGGGTATGAACTACTGGAAATGGTCTTTAAAAATGAAATTTTGATGGTAATTTTCAGGATTAAATAATAACTGATTTAGTTGGCTTTTCTCCATTTAAAGAATGATTTTGGAAACACAGCTGTATTGTGTTCCCTGCTCTTGACACGTGGATAAGGAAGAACTATGGCGATAGTGTCAGGGACATGATTCTAGATCTAAAACATTTTCTCTGCCCCAGCACCTCCCATCACCCCGCATGACCTGTTTAACATACTGTTACTGGTTTGGAAATTTGTCATATAACTTGAGTGTATTGGGACTGAACAAGGGAACCGTGGGGGGAGAGAGAGAGAGAGGGAAAATGTAGAGAACAAAAAACTAAAAATACAGTGAGACATGAAGCGTTAAAACCAGTTCATGTCTGAATCTAAGAAAAATTATGAAGAGAAAAATGAAGAGCACATGAAGATATAAAGTGAGTAAAGGCAAGAGTTAGGAATGAATCTTGGGATCCATGGGAATCCTGCTGTAATGGACTACAGAGGGAAAGCTGTGTTAATTGGTGATGGAATTTTAAATTGTTAATGTTGAAATTTCATTTGTGGGAAGGTTGCCAACCAGATATTATAAAGTTGTGGCTGAAGAGACAGGTCTGAACTGACTTTTAGCTAAGCCTATATGTATTTATTCTCCATATGCCACCAAAGTGTAATTAAAATTTGAAATTATTAAAATGGATTTGCTGTCCTGGTAAGATTTAAATTTTTTCAACACCTCGTAATTAAGGTTTTCTTCCACTTTATTACTTTACTTTTTTTTTTTTTTAAGGTAAGGTATACAGACATCCTTGATTCTTGGAAATCTGTATCCTCCTAAACATGATTAAATGTATTTAGAGATATTTGTCTTTATCAGGTGATTTTAAACTTTAAATAATTAAGCATAATTCACATTTCCTTTTCTAACCAGGAACCTTTTGAGGATGGATTTGCCAACGGGGAAGAAAGTACTCCAACCAGAGATGCTGTGGTCACGTACACTGCGGAAAGTAAAGGAGTTGTGAAGTTTGGCTGGATCAAGGGTGTATTAGTATGTACCTATAGATTGAATTTTAGACTAACAGCATTTAAGTTTATTATAAAATCTTCCTAATGTTCTCATCATTTCTTAAGAGAGCTCTTCTTTCTCTTTTTATGTGAGTATTATAGAAGACCAAATTAATAACTTGTACCTCCTTTTCTTGTGGATATTAAATTCAGTAAAGGAAACAGGATATATGTATTAACAGAATCATATTATACTTGATTTCCTCTAAATTATATTTTATTACCTCTTGTAAATCTCACATATTGTCATTTTTCAGAAATTAAATATGAAACTATTAAATTGATGGGAGCATCAGAATCAAGAAAGCTGAGCAGGCAGTAAAGCTGATCTATTTCTGCCTCCTTTCCTGCTACCCCATTATTTTTTGAAGAGAAATATATGAAAGTTAACATGGAACAGAATGAAGGAGAAATTGTTTTCTTAAGTGTTGAGGTCACTTCACTAGATAGGTTCAGGTGATTACGTTTCAGATGTACTTCTGTTTTTCTGTGTTGGAATAGGCACTAAGGAACTGACTGGAGGAGCCTGGAAGACTAAATGACTTCCACTGGGGCTTTGGGAGTACTTCATTAGAGTCATGTTGACATTTAGGGGAGAAGCAGAGGGAAAATCCCAGTTCCAGTAGTAATTTCATTGCTTAATCAATAGGGTAAATGTGAAGCTCCAGATAGTATTGTTTGCCTATTCTTAGATTTTAGTATTTTAGACAACTGTGTTCTATGAAAAGCATAAAAGGCAATAGTAGAAATAAATTGGGGAAACTCACAGTTCAGAGATTTTTTGTTGTTGTTTTTTGTTTTTTTTTATGTTAGCCACCATACAGTGTATCATTTGTTCACAGTTTTAAAGGATGTGTGAAGGGCACCTGGGTGGCTCAGTAGGTTGGGTGTCTGCCTTCGGCTCGGGTTGTGATCCTAGAGTGCCTGGCTGGCTCAGTCAAAGGAATATGCAACTCTTGATCTTGGGGTTGTGAGTCTGAGCCCCACATTGGGTGTAGGGATTACTTAAATAAATAAACTTTTTTAAAAAAAAAAGATGTGTTAACAATTAGCATTTTGTTTTGACATACTTTGTAATACTTAAATCTTCTGAAGAAATCATGAAATAAGGATGTTATTAAAGAATAAGCAAAAATTAAACTTAGTTCCTATTTTTTTAGGGTTGAAGTGGTAAAAGATTTCTTTTACCTTGTTTAGTACCTTTTGCTGTTTTAGATCATTGTGGTGTTATATTACACTTAAATTAGCTCACATTTTAGCTCTCATTAAGTTCTTTTAAAAAAGTACTACAAAGAGAAGGATAAGAGATTGTAAATGTCTTTCTTTAGTTTTAAATGGATATTGTCCTCCTTTTGGCTAGTTTTGCTTTACTGATGTATTAAATTTGATCACTTGCCTTCATCTGGAACTTGTCCTCTTTTCTTTCCTAGGTACGTTGTATGTTAAACATTTGGGGTGTTATGCTCTTCATTAGATTGTCATGGATTGTGGGTCAAGCTGGAATAGGTAAGCGAAGTTATATACTGCTTGATTCATTTGAGAATAAAAAAGTGAGGTAGCCTTGTGCTCGTCTAGGCTGTGAACCTCATAGCATTCAAACAACTGGAATTATTCTAAGCTATTTTCTCGTTTGTATCAGATTATTGTCTTAATGTCTTAAAAATTTTTTTCAAAATTTTGGTTAGATTTTCCTAAAATGGGGTAAAAATAAGGTAATTGTTAAATATAATGTAAATTTTGTAGACTAACCAGTTCTAGATAAGGCAGGTTGAAATAAATATAAGTATTCTCAGTCTCTCTTCTTTTTCCCTAAAGGTCTGTCGGTTGTTGTAATTGTAATGGCCACTGTTGTGACAACTATCACAGGATTGTCTACTTCAGCAATAGCTACTAATGGATTTGTACGTGGAGGTAAATTCAGTCTTTTCACATCATTGTCACCAGATTACTGTTACTAAGTAAACTGAGGTCTAAATTTTAAAATTATTTTTATCTTAAAAAAAGCAACATAGGTCTGTATTGGTGAGAAACTTGCTACTAAGTACTTTCAAACTGGCATATTAGAATATAAAATTTAATTTTGGCCCATACATAAATATGTATGCTTAAAATTAATTAGGATGTTCATTGTATTTGGTAGCAAGAATGGAGCTTCTGACCTGGTTTCTTCTCCATTGGGTTGTCCCTTACCTCCTTCCTGGTTTTAGCCCTTCAATCAATAGCATGCATCCTATATTTGGTTAGTATTATATAGGTGTAACCTCATTTCTCCCCCTTTAGGGAAACTTAGGGAGAGTTCTTTTCCCATGATCTGACAGCTTGTGTGAGTTACACCTGGGACCTGAATCCATACTATCAACTCTAGCTCTCTTCTTTGGGTGCCCTGAGGTCTCTTTCATTGGAATCCACAAGATTGGCCTTGTGAGATTTTACCTTCCTGGGGAGAGCACCCAGGAGACCAGGAGAATCGCCATGGGACCTCTGTGAACAAGAAGAAAAGAATTGCATTTTCCAAATCAAAACTCATCATTTAGCTGAAGTGAGGACATCCCTAGAGAAAGGAAAGAAAATGGACTTTACCAGCTCCCATACAGTGGTCATAGCAATCAACTGAGAAGAGAATCTACTTGTAACATCTGCCTCACCTGTTTTACAGACCCGTATTTGACATTATACATAGACAATTTCTGCCTTGTCTGCACCAGGTATTTAGAGAGAGAACTAGATTGAGCCTTTCATTTTTCTTCATTGTCTTCATATTACATACCAGAAGATCCAAATCACTATGGCCTGCGGCAAGCTGGTAGCCATATGTCCATGCTGAGCATGCATGACTGTTGGCTGAAGTTGTACATGTACATGAGTCTAGATTGAGCTATATTGGGGTGAAAGATGTGGATATGTCCAAAAGAGTTAATCAGACAACACTGAGAGAAATTCTTTTTGGCTTCTTATGTACTGTGCGCCATGCTTCATTTATTTCGGCTACTGTTGGGGAATGGTAGTGAAAGAAGAAATGGATGTGGTGGATCAGCAAATTATCAAAGTATTTCTCCTCTTTAGGCTTTCCAATCAAGGTCGTAAGCCTCAATGGGGCATGAAGCCACTGGCGGCATGAACCCCACAGATTATTCTCCATGTGAACTCAAGCTTAGGGGCAGCATAGATTTTCCTGCATTGGGACTAAAAAGCCATTTCATCTTTCAATACTGTCAGTAGTTTTCATATGTATTCATAAATACATCTACCTCAGACTCTGACCGCATACTCTGAAACTTTGCTAGAAGGCGTTCATTTTTCACTTGTCAGTTGGTGACTTTGGAAACCTGGCTTATCCTTTACAGAATACAAGCAAGTTGTATCAGTGGAAGTTTTTTGGAGATTTTTTTCAATGACTGTAAGCCCCTTCTGTCACCGCTTTATCTGCTTCATGGACTTGGACAGCCCTAATGGGATTTATTTTGGTTTCATGAAAAACAGGATTTTCCCCATATGAGAAAGTAGATACAGGTCTAAATCTGGCAAGAATATATCGCACCCTGTAGTCATGATTCTAAATTGAAAGTATTAGTGTCACTTATATATTTTATCCCAAAAGTGCATGTTGCTTAGTTCTGTTTGCAAAAATTACGTATAACAAATGACCAACCCAGTAGCAGTGAACCATCCCCTAGTGCCCATGTGGTATATTTTCAGTCAGAGGAGCAGAGGACCTTGGAGAAATGATTGGTTCCAGATCTGGGCAGGAAACGTACTTTAAGAGCCTAGACATTTTTTTCCACATTGGAAAGTAAAGAAGGTGTAACAGAGGCTACTAGTTTCAGGTCAAAAGGACCCAGGAGCCAATTTGAAGACGCTAGTGCTGACTTGAGTTTGCTTAGTTTGAACAGCAATACTACTACTAATAATAACTAATTTAAATGAAGACATAATGTATGATAAAATCCTTAAATTCACAGACACCACAAAAAGATCTTATTTTTTACCTTTGAAGAATGCTAGGGAGCTAACTTATTGATAAATAAATGTGAAGAATCTCATCAACATGAGATTCATCAAGTTCTCCTGAATGAAAGTTTCCTTACCTAAAGTCCGTGTAATCAAGAAATTGATGAGATTTGTTCTTTGATAATTGTTCTACGTAGCAAGAGAAGGAAAGAGAATTAAAATATTCCAACTTGTAAGCCCTTTACTCAGTAAAAGTATCTGTGAAGTATTGTTTCCTGAGAAATTGAATCTGAATTATACCATGTCTGTAGATCCAGAAAGCATTTTATAGAATATACAGAGGAGAGAGGAACTTATTAAATAACACTGTAGCATGATAGCAGATTCCGGAGAAGGAATCTCTCTGGAACAAGGAATCTTTACATTGTCTCTACACCCAACATGAGGCTTAAACCCACAACCGTGACATCCAGAGTTGCACGCTTCACTGACCAAGCTAGCCAGGCACCCCAGGAATCTTCCTTGTTTGACATAATTTTCCAAGGAGAAAGAAAGTGTGGGAGTTAGGGTTTAAAGCAAACTGTAAGAGACTCATTTTATAGGTGTGAGTTTGTTGCCATTTGTAACAGTAAACTGCTTTGTCTTTAAGTGGGACCAAGAGTGCCAGGTTTGGAGCTCCTCCAGCCCAGTCACCGAGGACTTGATTTGTACTTCTCTTAAAATGGCTACACAGGGAAGAGAGGAATAGAGCTATAAATATCCACAAGTCAGGGTGCCAAAGGCTTAGATTGGAGAAGTAGAGGGATGCCATGGAAATAGTGATGTCTGGAAATCCATCTCAATTTTCTGTGACTGGAGGTTGATTATTAAGGGAATTAATAAGGAAATATTTTACCTAAAGGTTGTGGTTGCTCTGTATAGTAATTTCAATTTGGAGAGCTCCTTTTGAACATCCCTAGTAATCTTGTTAATATAAAGAATTATTTTGAGGTAGAATCCAATAGTTTATGTTGATTCTTAACTCAATCGCAACATTTATTTATATTTTATTAATATTGAATAATATTTCATTCTCAGTTTATAGGGTATGTTTCTCTCTCTTTGGCAGTATGTGAGATACATACTTTCCCTAGCGTTATGTGCTTTTTGCCATTAGAGAATTTTAATTTTACCAAGTTACCTTAACATTGGCTTTAACAGTACATTTTAGAGATTAAACAGATAGCAATCTAGAAAAGTGTAGTTTTTTTTAAATGCTAAGTAACTGCCAATTTGTAAACAAATATAATAATGTCCAATTATGAAGTCCAGGATAAAAATAATATGACAACATTCGAGGTTTCTTAAAAAAAAAAAAAAAACTAGTCAAAACTTAGAAAATAAAAGCATAGTTTCAGGCTTCATTAGTTTTTAGTCAGGATTTTTGGGTACTGAAACTACTAGGAGGTTACAGAATCATGTCCTCAGTTCCCTGCCTGCACAGAATAAGATAGCTGTGCCAAGTAAGTTTGGCAGGTACTCCTTACCTTCATCTCTGCCACAGTGCCTGGCCTAACAGACAAATACAGTCTACAGATGATTGTGGCCTACTCCGAGCCCAGAGCTCTTCACCATTGTGCAAATCCTTATCGGTGTTTCTGAAAGCTGGGTTTTACTGAATTTACTTGGGCCACGTGCAGCAGGTTCTCTAAGAGGGTGCTGGCCAGCAGTCACTTTGACTTAGATCTGCATTTTCTAGATGTCTCAGACCGGAGTTCTTCCATGCTCAAATAATTAATCTGTGAATATGGTCTCATTTGTGAAATAGTAAATACTAGTTTTTTGAATCATGTTGTATTATAGTGCTTAGCCTTAAGTTGAAAGCGAGTTCAGTGTACTTTCAAATAAAAAGCCAGGTTACATCAAATTCAGACAGGTAGTTCTGAAAATGTAAAATTAATATAAACCTGTCTATTCCATGACTAAGATGAAATTTTATATTGTACATCAGTCATTCAACAGATAATTGTTGAGCTCTTTGTGACAGACACTGGGTTTGTAACAATGAAGGTCAGAGAATACCCTATTTTCTTGGAGCTGTAATCAGATAATAGTGGCAATTATTTTTTGAAACCTAACTGCTAGGCATGATACATGAAACGTAACTGCTAGGCATGATAATGTAGTCTTAACATACATTATCCATCACATTTAATGCAGCATTGTTGTTAGTCACATGTATAATTTGTATGGATGAAGAGAGTAGAAATGAAACAATTTACTCATTTTTTCAACAAATTTAAATTTCATCCAGATTTTACTAGCGAATCTTTTTTAAGTGTCTGCATTATGTCAGAATTGTCTTTTTATTCTCCGCTATCTTTTTCATTTCTCTGAAATAATTGAAGACCTCTTCATTCTCTATAGGTAAAATTAAACATTGGAAGTAATAGTAACAGTTTTTGCATGGATTGTAAGTGACAGAAAGTGCCTTCTATATTGGTAAAATCAGATTAACATTGATTGTCAAATTTTTTGTTTAGTCCATTATATAACTATTCATTCCTGTCATCACCAAGCAAGGAGTTGTAACTTAGAATTAAGTTCCATAGTTCTTTCCTTTTATTGGTAATTTCTTTCAAATTACAGCTTTCCAGATCAGTGAAATGTTTGAAGAAGCTGTAACAAGCAGTTCTCTAACAGTTGTATTTTGAGATTTTGTTAGACTTAAGCTTAACATTGTGTTTTCAGTTTAGTAAAACACTATTTATAAACCACAAATAGTATGAATGTGAATCTGGCAAATAGTTGTAAATAATTTTTGACTTGGGTTTTCTCTTTGACTCATTTGGTGGCATTTCAATTTTGCCAGTCTTTAATGATTAAAAATACTTCAACTTGGTTCTGAAATTGTCTGCTGCATAATTAGGGCAGTATGTACATTTTTCTCTACTTGACTTAATAATGGCAACAGAGCAGAGGAA